CAAATATAATACACACGACCATGGCGTGGTTTTATTTCTCATCGCTTCAGTATATTATAATAATATTATTATGCGTATTAGGTATCGTGGTAAAAAAAATTTAAAAAAATGATACTTGACTTTGGTGCCATTTGGTCAGAAAACATTGGCGGACCGCCGTGATGGACCCTGCAGAAGTGTGGTGGTATAGAGTAACCTGAGAAGGGCGAAGAGATAAACGGAGAATTTAATATTATTAAGAAAAAAAATAAAAATGTTATATATTGTTTTACACGCGTATGGTGGTGTAACATTATGTAGTTGTAATAATAATATTAAGTACCAACGTAATATAATATATTATAAAATAAATATAATAATATAATACGGTCTGCGGGATGCATAGAGAACGGACAACTGATTTGAAATACGGTTCAATTATTTTATATTATAGATTATTATTGTTGTCTCGGTTTTTTCCTTCTCCTTTTTTATTTTTATTACCGTTCATTATTCAATTTGTTTATTCGTTGTGAGGCAATATTGCACGATTGTGTCCGCGTGCCAGTTTAATACGATGGATAAGTCGATTGTACGTGTCTCAATCGTGCAGCAGCGGTCCAGAAATCGTACACGCGTGGAAACTGACACGTTACAAGGGCGCATACCAATAAATTATTATTATAATTATTACATATTATTTAGCTGCGACTGCTTTCACTTCGTTATATCTTCATAAAATAATGAGAATTTTGAGTAGGTATTCCCGAATTCTAGCCAAACTCCTCCACCCGTTCTTGTTGGAAAGTGTGTTTATAAACGATACTTTGTGTTAGTTTAAGTGACTTTGTAAACATACTTTAGTACCCTCCTCATCATACTTATACCACTTAGTAATTATTACTTACCCAATATGTATGTATTGTATTATGTATTGTCCAAATGCTTAGAGATGTTCAGCATTTTAAAACGTTAACCAAACAAAAATACCATAGATTACAGTAATCGATCTGCAATATAACGATACATATTTTTCAAAATCAAACACGTCAAAAATATCGAATTGAAAAAACCAATGAATCATATGAGCCTCGTCGCGCAGTGTTGAGTAAGTTATTAATTATTTTCAATGATACATTATAGTGGTGATGAGATAAACAGATTGGAATAAACTGTCGTTCGTTATTTTACGTGGCAACGCGTTGCCAAACAGATCTGTGTAAAACACGGTCATCGGAGGTACGATGTAGTACGCATATTATGAGGTTATAAGCATTCCATAAAGGCATAAACTATTTAGTAACACTAAACGAGTTTGGACCGGAGTGACAATAGTGTGATATGACATGAAATACAACGTCTGTCGTTTCCTTTAATTTTTGTTTATGATATTTATATCATCGCCAGTGACAAAAATGTTGTTCATTTTTAATTTAAAACATACCTACTTACCCATATTAACATATATTTAATTATATATAAACATATATTTATATATTAACATACTATGGCTACGGCGTTGAATATATCAATTTTCGATCGTCTAATTTTGCATGGAATAATGTATTCATTTCGGAAGTATTTAATTTTAGGTACTATATATAAAATGTATACAAATTCGATAATATCCTATAAACTTGGACAGTAGTACTTAGATTTATGCCGTGCGTGTATATTGTTAATATTCGAAAAGTTGTACGGTTAATCAGTAGGTAAGCAATAAAATAATATAAAATTACCTAAAACAATACAACATAATATAATATAACAGGTTTGAAAATAATGTGAATGATAGTCAAATCTTAAAATGGAAGTTATCAAACGACCCGTAAGTATGATGTTAGGAAAAATATTCAGTCTTGTAACTCGTTACATGTTTATTGGACCGAATTTGCGTATACCTATATAATATTATGACGTCGCCTTAATAAAGCAACTTATATAGATAAGTTTTTTTTAATCATATATACCATTATATGATTAAGTTTTACTTATTCTTATTTTTCATACGTTATAGTTATATTGGGACTTGTTCAGAAATTTGTAATTTTAACTTCGAATTCTGTACGCCAAAAAGCTTATCGCGAACGTAAACGCGTCATAGACCACGTAAAAACATATTTATACCGGGTCCACACAGGACAAGAAAATAAAACCAAACATAAACTCAACTTTTCTCAGTATCGATGGGACAATCTAAATTTTATTTAAACACAGAAACACAAAAAAAGATTGTGTAGACCCAGCATAATATGATTCATTGTTTTCTCACKYATCGGAGAAAATATCAAGATTTATCTTAATATTATTTCTAGGACGCAACTAGTATGCACCCCGGGTRCTGATCCTGCAGCAGGGGTTGTCATCCTTACAGATCGTGCACACTGTACACATAAAATAGTATAATAGAATATACATGCAGTATGACGTAAACCCTCATCCTGTACGACGCGTCTGTTCCTGGTTAAAGTTTTACGCAACTGAATAACATTATATTATACAATACAATATAATATAAAGAGCACCGCGGCCCGCAGCAGCGTAACTRGCATAGCACTCGGAAAGGTCATATATATTTTATATACCACGCTCCGAATCGCTCGATTGCATAGAATATCATAAATTCATAATATAATTATGTTTACATTAAAATATTATTTGCTGTTKGAGTACCTACCATATAATTATTATTGGTAAGGCGCGCGACAACCTTAAATGCATTGATTGAAGGCAACTGATAGTCCTGCTGCTGCTACTGGTCCATTACCACAGAGCGTGTATTATGATATAATTGCTGTGGCTGTATATTATAATATATATATAAATGTGTGTATAGTGTGTGTCTGTGTCGTATTGTCCGGCGACGACGAACCATTATGYTCGGGTCATCCATTATTATACTGCAGCCGAAAGTGGTCGAAATATCTATCCCGTTTCAATTAATCAAAGTAACTTATACGTCCAATAAACGGTGTATTGTACAAGCGTATATGAAAAAAAGCTGCTATTGCATATGCCTATACAGTGTATAATATTTATATAATAATCTCTAAACGCGTATAATATGTCGACAAGAAAGAATTTTGGTCGGMAAATGATAAATTCTTTCGTATACACTATACGCCATGACAACATTATCAAACTTTTTGGTAGGAACATTATCTGTGTTCTCATGTTGGTTTTTTACGATATTTTAATTTTTAAATGAGTTTTGGGAATTTTCAAATATTCACACTTAACATGATCATAACTCATTTAAAAATTAAAATATCGTAAAAATCCAACATGAGAACACAGATAATGTTCCTACCTAAAAGTTTGATAATGGATCAATTCACTCTAATATCAAAACTAACAGCACACTATTGAATCTAGTAAGACGGAGACAACACATGCGGGTGTAGCGTCCTCTTAAGAGTAARAAATAAACATGTTTTATTTACCAAAAATTCAGGTATTAGGCCAGATTAAGTCTCGTACCTCGCGCGTCGATTAACCACACCAAACGTACAAATTCTTTAACCAATTCAAATGTATAAATCAGTTATATTGCAATACGGGCGTTTATTATAATTATTGTCGAGGGGCCAGATACTCTGATAATATAACAGTGTCTCTAATYGACCGACTCTTCCTGAATATTTATTCATATATGTATTGATGCTATTGTGCATGTTAAGATTTAAAAGATTCTTTTTGATGAAACCTATTAAAATTAAAAAATAATAATTAGGGGACGTGCATAGACTTGTGATCACGATTTTCCCATCAGTCTATAATGATCTATATAGTATGTTTGTATAACCACACGTAGTCTTGTCTCTATGCAGCAACGAGAGTTTATGTTGCGGCGAGTCCTCTGAAGATTTCAATGCCTCAAGGGCATCTTCTGCAGAATGTGTGATATCACCTGCATGAAAAGTTACTGAAATCGAACCTAATTGTGCAGTTTGTGCGGAATAGTATAATACTGCATGCAGCACCATAATAACGTGCAGGTCCGTCGATTTTCATTGCCGCTCCATATACGCATAGAGATRCATCAACAAACTGTTGGTTTACTCTTTACGTTTATGTGGTAGGTACGCGTACATTGAAGAGGACACTGTAATTATCACCGCAATGTCTCTTCTGCAATTATAATTTCGCGAGTCAAATCATGTCCTATATAATATTATGGAAAGAAGACTACGTGTCGCAACGAGGCCACAACCGACCTGGGCTCGCGTGTGCAGTGTGTGAAGTTGACCGCATCGCTCGCTCCATTTTACACAATTCGAAACAACAATAAATTGCACTTGTTACGTATGGGTATAATAATATAATATGTTTGATACTCTAGCGCAGGTTTTGATATCGTCTCCGTCACGTTGTGATGTGTGCCGGCTGTACGTAAAAATAAGGTCAGGTGTGTAGTTTTTTTTTAGTGCGTAAACGCCGTAAACTCCTCACGAAACTTTTTATTATTTTCATACACGTTCAACGTTGAATCACTTGTATTACGATTATTATTATTATTACTATTACTATATTACTTTTACTATTACTATATTACTATTACTATTACTATTACTATTAATATTACTATTAATATTACTATTTCGAGGAGAAGGCCGCGACGATAATATGACTTAAGTGCCTACACGGGTACCTACGACCAATGCTAAAAAATAATTACATATAGATAATAATTTTTCATCCCGAGCACCATATTTTAGTATTTTTTCCTTTGATTTGACGGTCGCGTTTTGTGTTAAATGTATATTTACCCAGTCATATAAACTATATATTTACGATGGTGACTTTAACTAATTACGACAATGATAGTAGATAATATATACTCTTGAAAATAACATTGTACATTTAAAACTTTGTTTTCACGCCCAAGTTGTACGCCAAATAATATGTTGTGTTATTTCTCACGTTGGTTTATATCTATATAATAATAAATTAATAATTGTCATCCACAATTTCTATTATTTTTTCCTGTAAACTAATGTATTTGTGTATTGTTTTTTCAGAGGGACGAGTGGAGGTGAGCAGAGAAAACAAATATCTTAGTACTATGACCTCTGGAAAAGTATTCGGAGAGTTGGCTATTTTATACAACTGCAAGCGTACTGCCACTATTAAAGGTATGGTATACTTATTTCATTATTTTTGCTCTTAAAAAAAATATATATATATATAAAAGCGCTCAAATAACCTATGCATAAAACTACAAAAACTGCAGTTTTAATCAGTATGATGAAGTCATATCTTAAGATGAGTTACTATTTTTCTTTATTATTAAAGAGGAAAGATAATATAATGTAATAATGAAAAAAAAAACGATAAATTTTAATTTATAATTCAGTCAATTTAACGATTATATTTTRAAATCCCTAATTCCCGGCCCAAGTATGTACCCATTCTATTCGAATACTCTTTTAATTTAACAGATCTCAAGTAGGTTCGGGGCAAGCCTTACCACTTATTATGTAATAGAATCAAACCATTCAAACCACACTAATGTAGTTTTATACATATACACTATACAGTGTTCTGTATACGTAAGGACTATATATAGCATTCCTCTCAGCTACTAATGAATATTGAATATATCTGATTTTTTTCCTATTTATCTTGGCGTCAATACATATAAGCCTCCAAAATGGAGGTATTAACTTTAAATTTTTAAGTCGCAACTACTATTAGTTTCACTGTAAATACTTCTAAATATTTGACAATTTTTAACAAGCTTATATAGGTATAGTTAAATTAAAATAATATTGGTAATTGAAAAGTATATTCTCTGCAAAACTTTTAATAACGTATTGTTATAGTATAGTTAGGCGATAAGCAATATTACTTTATTTTTACTTTCTCAAAAAAAAATTAATTAGTTAATTACAATAAATAGTTATTATAAATATTAGTTAATA